CATTCAGTCAGCATTTATAATGCCAGAAAAAGGAAAGAATAACAAACACTAAAACAATACTAGTGGTCCTACAAAATTAGTTACACAAAACAATCTTGCAACAGATTTTCCTTCTATCCTTTCTCTAGAATGTCCAGCTGCATATCTTCTGGATGGTTCCAGTTCTGGTGAGGTGGAGGCATCTTCCAACGAGCTTGCTGATGTGTATTTCTGTCCAAGTCAGCTGGCTTCTTCTTCCCCACGTGATTTACTTCAGCTTCATTTCTTGATATTGATGGTTTTAAGTATTTGCATTTTGTAATTCTAAAAGTAATATACGAGCCTGCAGCATGTTTACCAATAGATATTGCATTTATTACACACTGGTTGCAAAAATTAAAGCTCAGTTAAAGAAAATAAGGCAATTTACACTAAACTAAACAAAATGACATTCTCAAGCCTTAAAACTAAACTTGGCATCATGGCATTAACAAATTGAAGATCTACTACATTTCTTTAAAAGTCTAAAACCATGCGCGAAAAGAACGCAACAAATGTACTACGCCAACTACAAAATTGAATATGGATTGTCTCATTCTTAAGTGTAATTAACATTTTAATAATGAACAATTTAACAGGAAAAATATAATACATTTGCCATCTCAACACATATTTTACCTATCCATTGAGAATACGTTTTGTAAAATGTATTTTTTTAAGAAAGGTATAGATCCCGGTTGGTCACTGTTCCATTGTGACTAAGATAGGATCAGTACGTAGTGACCAATGGAACTTGAAAATTTTCGCTGCTAATCAGGTTTCAAATCTCGCTAATAGAATATTTGAACAGAAATCGTCATAAGATACAGATTTGCTAAATAAATGAAGGGTCTGTTTGATTTGCTTTTTTTTTCCATGGAACTTGGAATTTAATTTTCTTTTCCCACCAATTGACATGTTCGATGAGTAAAATTTGAAGGGATAATGGTCTTCTTGACCAATTTGGTGGGAATTGATTTTCTAGTTTACTGCCATTTTTTTTCAATGGAAACAAATTTCATAAAAAATTGTAAAAAAAAAAAATTCACTTTAATGAACAATTTCCATGTAAAACAAAGCCAAACGAACACTAAACTTTGATGAAAAATGATTTTTTAGGAAATAATATTTTTTCCTTTTTTTTTTTTCCCTTTTTGGTAATGAAAACAAATTTTTTAATCAGTTGTAGAAAAAAATATCACTTTAATGGACAATTTCCATATAAAACGAAGCTAAACGAACAAAAAATTTAAAAAATTTTCGGGTGAAAAATTATATCAATCAAACACACTTAATTAACAATTCTCTGCAAAACAATTTCTAGGCAATTACTTTCCCTGAAATTTATTTTCTTTCCACTCATTTTCCACCCTTGCAATCAAACGGACCCGAATTTTAATAATACAAATGCAACGAAAAAAGTTGAGGATATAAGTACAAAAATTAGTAGAGACTATGAATTTTCATTACAATTAAAATATAATGTAGTTAAGAAAGTGTGACATGAATATAATTAGCCTGAGTATTGACAATCAAATTATTTTGATTCAAAACAGAGTACCTTAAATGAATTGGATTGACAATCTTACTGGGATAGTTCCATTGAGTTTAGGTTAGTTGTCGAGCCTTTACGTGCTAAATCTTTCATGTAATTTGTTTACTGGTTAAATTTCTGAGTCTTTTTCCTCACTGAGGAACCTTACTTTACTTGACACGTCTTTGAATTTCTTGTCTGGGCATTGGGACTTTGTCTAGGCTGCAGTTCTTTGAGTTTAGGTTAGATTAATGATGTGTGAATTAATGGTGATGTATAGTGCCAATAAAATTGGTTAAGTCATTTCTGCCATATTCCACCCATTTAGTTCTTAAAAGATCAATTTTTTAATTCACATTATTAATATACCAGTTTAACAATTTTTTTTCCATAAATAAAACCTTAAATATTTACTGATCTTGAAGGTTGGGATGAAATGTGCAAAAAACCCTTATTTAATTTCTTGAAGGAACAATTGTACCACTAGTCACCAATTTGTTGTATCAGTAGAAGTTTGCCTACAACTTTTGAAAAGAAACAAATTAGGCTTAATGATTTCATCACGGTTCACAATCGATCTCCAACAACAAAAATGGGTCAAACTTCTGTTAAATTTTGGATAAATTGCACCTTTCATCCCCAATCTATAGAGGTAGTTGCAATGTCATCCTCATACAAGTTTGATTATACAACCAGTAGGTCTAAGTGCGCAGTTAGTCATTTCTCCCATATTCCATCCATTTAATTCTTAAAAGATCAATTTTTTTAATTCAAATGATTATTATACCAATTTAACAAATTTTACATAAATAAAACCTCAAATATTTAAAATATGCTTATTACAAGGTTAGTTGAATAATTCCCTAAGACATCTCATATGATTCATCAGTTGCATTTCAAACAATGAGCCCTCTCCACAAAATAATGAGTTGCAATAAAATCGTGCTACTTGTAAAATTGACAACACCAAGTAGAAAGTAGACGGAATGACTAACCACATCTAACTTGTTGGTTCATAATCGTGCAGATAAAAAATAAATAATTTGAACGAGGACTACATTGCAACTACTTGTATTGGTTGAAGATGAAAACCACAATTTTCTTAATTAATTTTGTAAGTGGCCAACAATGCCAGCTATGCTGAGGAATAATGGATATTGGAGAAATCTCAAGTGCTGTGCATTTGGACTCAATTCATTTGTGGTCTTCTACATCTTCTTTCAATTATGCATTTAGTCTCATTTTCATTCCTTTCGAAAATTGATTCCGTACAATTGAATAAGACTTTAAGTCAACATTTTTTATTTAAAAGATATAAAGTGGTTGCGCTACAGAGTATTGTTTGAATCGCTTTGGATCGATTGTATGAGTTAATGGGTATCTATAAGTTTTTGGTTTGCCACACACCGACAATTTTATCCACTTTTTAATCACAGATCCTTTAAAAGATAATATTTCTTATTTGAAAAAATCTTTGCTAAGCAAGCTCTAAGCTAGAATCTCAACTACGCCATACATTTAGTTATTTGCATTTTCAACTAAACACCTCAAGAGAGTAATGCAAAATAAAAAAATAAAAAGTTGTTTTCATATGCAAAATTATTTTATTGAAAAAATATGTAGTTGAAAATGAATTTAAAGGCATACCTCCAATGAAAAACACATCAAGTCCATAAAGCACATCAAATCTAGTCATTCTAACCCACATTGTGAGGAGGCACATTTCTTCCAAAATTATAAGACTATTTTGACAAGCTTCCAGGGCTAAACAAAACTTTCAGATTGAAGCGACAAAATAGGACCCAAACTGAACCGAACAGAATCGAATCGAATCGAGTTGTTCTTCTTAAGTTAAATATCCGAATGAGTATTTGAATTGAGAACCGATATGTTCGGTTCGATTCTCAATTCTAGATCAAGAATTGAAAAATTGAATAAGAACCAAATATCCTTAATTTTTTAATCTTAAAAAAGCCAAATTATTTTATTTTTTTAAAAATAAGTTTGTTAACTAATTAATTTAGCCTGAACCCAAAATATGATTTTCTTATTTTTAATTTCCCGTCCAAGTCCAATTAATCAAATTAACCTAAATTTTCCCCAAATCTCTTATATGAGCTCGCTATCTTCTTCTTCATGTAATTTTAACAGCCAAATCTACGAAAAACTCAACATAGAGACACAAAAGATATCACAGGATTGGATTACGTTATTTTGTAAGAGTTAAAATTGAACATGTTATTAGTTGAATTAATGTAGCATTGTTGTAAATATTAAAAAAATTAATTATTGTATAGAACTCAAGAACCGAATGGAACCGAACAGTTCCATCATTAAATTTGGATCCGACGATTTCACTTACTAAATACCTGAAAACTCGGATTCAATTCCATTCTCTTTAGAACTGGACTGAACCGGACATGTCCAGCCCTAGCAGCTTCCAACTTTCGGTGAAACAATTGCTTATTTTCAAAAGCCTATATTGGCTTATGCAAAGAAGATGCTGACGAAAAAGCAGAGGGAACAGATTCTTGATGACTTTATTTGGTCTAACTCTCCTCTTGAGATCCTTGGTTCAGTTATTTCTATAACATTTGAGGATCTTGCATGTTTACCCATTAAGGACCATACTTTGACAACCCCGAGGTGTGTTTTACTCTTTTCTTCTTTTTTATTCTTCATATGCGAGTGAACTCAAGTAAACTTATATAATCTGCCTGGTTCACTATCTTGTTCTCTGACCATTAAACTGCTATTTCCTTTAATACTAGACAGGTTAAAGATCTGTGTGACGACACTTCAAGCATCTTTTAAAGTAAGATTGTGTCAAATGAAACATACAAAGAACCATAGGCAGATATTTCCCATATGTGGTGATTCTGTGTTTGTCTTGCATGATTTTGTGCCCTTCAATGTTTGTGTTGTGGTGTAGATGGCGTATACATATAAGAAAGGCGCTATCTCCCTCAGAGAAGGCTACTTCTGCTACAACGGCTGTGGAACGTGAGAGCAAGCAAGATGAAGATGAGAGAATTCTCAATGAAATGGATGACTTGACTAATGCCCTGGAATAGAAGAAGAAAAGGGCAAATAAACTTCTAGCAAAAAGACGAGCCAAGGTCATTGCCCATGTTTATCAATCCCTTTCTGCTTTATTGCTCTATTTTTTAGGTACATATTGAACACAAAATTAGGCAAACACGGATTAGTTTGAGCTATTGTCTCGGCTTTCGAAGCTGTAGTTAGTTAACATTTAATCGAGATGATAGGATAATTTGATAATACTCAAATACTAGAATGCTTTTCTATCGATTGTATATCAAATGATGGGGAGCAGTCATCATCCACCTCATAGTCATAGCACTGCAGGCTCTCTACGTGCTATATTCTCTGCCAGTTAAGAGGCCATAAACATAGTTAAAGCTGGGCTATACTGAAATATATTGTCATTGCGATGTAAACAAGTGATATTAAAATTTAGATGTAATGTCCGTTAAGCTGATCTATTAACAATTTTGCAACAAAATAATATAGACTTGGAAATCCGTACAACGCTGGGACTTCAACCATCACTATGGGATTGGTTTCATAGGGATTTTTGGAGACTTGGAGTCTATTACAATAACAATGATTATTATTATTTTCACATTATCAATGTATTATATTAAGAATTTTATCAGGTGCCTCCTATCGTGTGTCTACCCATCAGGCTTTGAT